AGGTGGCTGATATATTGTCTTTTGCCAGCATTTTGATCATTTTGTTGCTTATGCACCACATGGGTTCCATTTCTCGGATGTACAATGTACTTATATGATATAACATCATAATGTGGGTTTGCAGAGAGACGGATATTCTCACCAGAGGCAATAGGAGAGAATGGTGCGCTTCCTCAAACGTGGAGTCCTGAATAAATCAAACAAAGTAGCACTCTTTTTGTTCCCATCACTCACTGTTTTATCTTCTACCTATGGATTTACAAAAACACAGAGAGATATTATCATTTGGAAAACTTATAATTATATATTCATATTATATAACAGGTATTAATATCGTGCATTTTCAAAAATATCATGAATATGATATATAGAAGACTATATATAGTCCTGATTATGTCACCACCAAAAAGTGGGGACACATTGTTGTGGTCTCCGTTTTTTGTGACGGCGGTTGGTGGTTGGCGATCGGCAGGTGGCATCAGTAACATATTCTGACAACTTCCAATAACTTAACAAATACTGTTTGAACTGACTTAAGTTATTTTCAAAATCAACTACAATTTCTCAGAAGTTCAAATGTGACTTTATACTTGAGATTTCACATTCAAAGACCTTCTCAGGGTCAAAAGAGGTCTTTTTCAACTTGCTTCATATTTTCAAAATAATTTACAAGTTCTCAGAAATTCAAATCTGACTTAAGATTGAACTTTTAATATTGTGAGCAACTACAGTAAGTGGACATTCTGTCATGTTAATGCCTTGTTCATATTTGTCCCTTTGACTGTCTAACGGATCGTTATTATAAAAGATAAATGAAACATTGTATGATCTACTCGTACATAATTATATAACAATATGGTACACCTGCATTGTTGAATAAGAAATAAAAAAGGAGCACGTAGGTTATCGCAAACAATTTCAAACAATTCTAACTTGAATTATGAATATTTTTTGATCTTGAACATGGGCATATCTTTAAGATCCATTCATTATCTTCAAGAAAAGTATTTATAATGATAGTTTAGTTAATCAGATCTAAGTGATATTGAAGGGGCAATGAACCAATCAACATACTTTTCAAAAATATTGACCTAATTTTCACCAAAAATGCAACCTTTTATTATATTGTTGAATGCATAATTAGAATGTGCTTTGAGACATGTTTGATTTCCTAAAAGGAAAAGTTGATTGCTTCGGGGACTTTAAAGATATTGAATTTGGATGACCAAAATGAACTGAAACCAATGGATGGCATGAGATTTTTCAATGGAAAAATAACATGGGGAACACTTATCTTAAAAGAATTAAGTTTTCCTTTCAAGAACTATTTGATACATCAAAATAAAGAATAGTAATGCATTAAACATTGTAAAAATTGATTGCATTTTTGGTGAAAATGGGGTCAACATATTTGAAAAAGTGTGTTGATGGTTTGATTGCTAGTTAAATATCTCCGAGTTTGTTTGACTTTATTATTACTGTATATAATTTTCTTTGAGATAATGGATTGATCTAAAAGATAAACCTGTCTTCATTGGCAGAAAATAGTCATTATCCAAGATATAACCTTCTGAAATTGTTTGCGATAACATGCGTGCTCCTTTAGGGTTGTCATAGATACCAGATAAGTTTCTGAGAATGAATATTATCAAATGGCGAGTGCGCTTGCAAAGAGTACCTCTGTGAATTTATTTATGTTGAAATTTTCTGGAAGTTTCACACCATTTATCCTCGCAATCCTTCTGCACACCTTTTCCGCCTCTTTCAGCCTTCCAGTCGCCATTAACCAGCGCGGGGACTCTGGTAGCAAGCTGAAAATACAAATCGGAAAGCATGTTCGATCATTAAAGTATGTGGATCAGTTTAAGATACAGTCAGGCTACCTGGGAAATACATGTATTAATATTTTGTTCGAGTTTTAGTACTCTTGGAATACGTTATGCAAGATATCCGCACTGAGAGTTTTCTGCAAGCACCATCTGCACATGGTTAACGTATTATGTACAAAATGTATTTGAAAAACTTACAAAGTCGCTATCAATGCAGGTATAAGACAGAGAGACGCCATTATCTGGAGGTGTACATGACTTCGTATAAAGTAAGCCCATAATACAAGTAGACCTCTTGACGAACGTCCCAGCATGAGGATGAAAAAACCCTTGGACCTGGCTTCCTTGGGTATAACCTCCAGAACTGAATGAAAGTAAATTGATATATAAGCGCAAATGCCAAAAGGAAAGGACCACAAACTGTAAAGAAACCTAGTAAGAAAACTCGAAGTGTGAACCTGTCATAAGAAAAGTATACCATTTTGAAAATGGTCAAAATATTAATGGATCGTTCAAGTGAACTATTGGCGCCACAAAACATAATATATGTCGATATGTAACCACGTTTCCTCTGCCTACCATCAGATCTAGAGGTACACTTACTGTAGGCCCATAATGTCTGATATGTGCCCAATGCTGATAGACCCACTAGTCCACGTAGTACCAAAAACGCTACATAGTTGGGAACCAAGGCCGCACCGAGGGTAGAGAGCAAATGTAATATCAACATAATTGAGAAGGTTCGTTGTCGTCCAAACCTATTTGAAAAAGAACAAATAAAGACGGTATCATGTTTGATTTGTGTCACACACATCTATAAACATTTACTTTTGGGAATTTCGATAATCACAGTACTTTGGTAAAGTTTCTCTGATTTTTCTTGTAATATTACTCTGGACTCTTGCTATAGTAAGGATTACTTCAAAACTTGTTTCAATAAACTAAATTCTAATATTTCATAGAAAATTGGTGAATTTGGTATTTGCTGGTATTTTCAATAAAGTTTTTAACTAAGATCAATAGACGTACCTGTCAGCCAATGTACCAGAGAAGAAAGCACCACAGAACAACCCCGCCATGAAAGCTGATGCTGCCAAAGTATAAAGCCACTTTCTGTCGCACACAAGATCATACTGTAATATTAACAAAAACGTCACCACCTTCAAGCCTTCTCATTTTGGCGTCAGAACTTTCCCACTTGGATTACATTCTCAGTTGACTTATGTTTTAAGCTTTAATATTTGACTTTCAATCATACAAACCTTTTCAGTACCTTTGCTTTGAAGCTTACTCATTTGGATTACAAGAATTCTCACTTGCCTTATAAGCACTTATATGCACTCTAGCGTTCTCAGTTGGCTTTTAATTGTACTCACCTGGCTTACAAGTGTAGATGAAAACTTGCTTGTATCATAGATATATCCACTACATTTCCTGGTAGAGATGTTTCCATTTGGCTTCCAGTTGGCCACATCCTCGGTTGTGATGTTCCCCATGCTGGAGTAGTTGAAATCGTAGACCCTACATTGACTATATACGGCCTCCCCATACTGATTCTCCTCAATGGGGACAGCTATATGCAGGAATGTCGAATGATTGAGGTGATCCAATTCTGGCACGTGGCACCAATGTGGCATACGACCAGCTATGAAAACTGTGATACTGTACTGCCAGCCGTTAGCACCAAAGAAGATCATAAATGTAAGTAGTGAAAATATCTGGTAGCGTCCGAAACCTCCAAGTTCTGGTATCAAATTGTCAAATCCCATTATGTCGAATTGAATAAAAAAAACTATTTTGCAAATATTTTAATTGGCCACTTTCTGAATCATTAAGAGCTTGATTCAAGAATTTTAATATTTACTTAAATAAATATAAAATGTGCTGATATATCCAATTTATATTTAGATGCATCCAAATTCATATAATATTCCTTCTCATTTTGGACTTATGTGATTCTTAGATCTGAGTTGTACTTATGAAACAACTGACCCAAATTTACAGGAATACATGTATGTAACCTCAGTTATCAACTTTGCATCATAAAACATCAATACGAACATGAACTTAGAGAGTTATATTTGATAAGTTTACACGTGTCAGAGTTAGTTCAAGATAGCACCAAAAATAATGAGTAAAGAGTTCAATAACAACATCTCAATAATAAGGAGACAATTGATAAAGGTAGTTTAATTTTAATCATAGATAAGGACCTGAGAGTCTTATATCTGAATTAAAGATATGATACAGGGTGGGCCAATTTTTTTAATTTGCATTCCAAATGAAACGTCTATAGCTGTGGATTATGAATAGTACACTTTTACTTGAATAGAATATGTCACCAGCGTCTCGCTTAAATATGTGGTGTGCCATGAGAAATAAGCATACTTTTCAAAATGTTCCTGAACTGATACGGCCTGATGACCACCAAGCTAATAGCCCTGATGCAAACCCCGGTGAGTAAAGGGTATGGGAAGGTCTCCAGGAGACCATATGAAGGTTCCCAATCTAAAAGATTGCTCAACTAAAGCTGGTAATTAAGACAGGTTGGAATAAACTTACCTTACATTTCATTGACGACTAAAACTGAAAGCCATCATCAAAGACGGTGGCGAAGCAATTGAACTCCTCTTTTAGATCAAATATAATCCAAGTTGAAGGACTTTATATTATTACTTAGAACCCCTGGCACTTTATAATTGCAAAATTTGGGATATGTAGGTTTGAAAATAAAAAAAAGTTATAGTGTCTTGAAAAAAGTGGCGTTTTGGCCCACCCTGTATACAGTGTGTATCAAAAAACGCAACAAACAAAGGTTCTTGTACTCTCAGCTGCATAAAATACCATGAAAGTGAAAATGGAATATCTGGTAATGTCCAAATCCACTTACATGTACTGTACTGTTCACCTTATAAGCTATCTATTACGGTGATTGTTTCATTACGATATAATATTTTTAAAAAATTCGGTCTGATGTGAACACACTTTATAATATTTGTAAACAGATTCTTAAATTGATGTTCAAATCCAACGGTTATACAGTACTTTTGTTAAAAAATGATCTTGATTATCAGGAATATGTAATTTCAAATATGTCTGTAATCCATCGATATAATCCTAGGGGTGACAAACAAATTCATCAAATAGCAAGCATTCAATATAGAGCAGCATGCATTGCATATCTATGGCCACATTTGGTTCAGTGGTACCGGTGTAAAAGGGTAGGAGGTCCTATCGATATATATCTACTCTCTTGTTGCAAAGTGCTCATTACTAGAGGCGTTTGGATTTATGAGTCAAAATGTTCTTTTTCTATAACGTTGACCAGGTTGACGGCATTCATGGCTCTCCATTATCTTGTACATTGTTATTCAAAACAGGACCTGGTATCTTATTAATGGATGTTAGTGCTCCCATTTCACTACCTCTGTTGTTGTATTCAGCTCTGAAATAAGAGAGGGTAATATCACTGAAGTCCAATATGAATGCTATTATATTAGTCTATGTTCATGTAAAGGTGAATCTAGATCACCTAATCTCTTACCTGAAATCGAGGATTAATGAATCGCAGTATTACTTTAATGAAACCTTACTTTTCAAATTACCAAATGAAGTATTTAGACTTACCAATTACCTGAATGAAGTGATACTTTTAGAATTACCAATAACCGAAATGAAGGGTTACTTTTAAAAAGACCAAATACCTTTAATGGAATGTTACTTTAAAATTACCAATTACCTAAATAAAATGTCACTTTTAAAAATACCAATGTCTTAAATGAGGTGTTATTTTTCGTGTGAGGTCGTCTTTTTAACTTGCTTAAGCATTTGACCCAATATTAATACTTGGAATATCAACTCACGTTCCAAATAGCTCTGCTTCTTCTAGGGTATCAGGTAGCCTCTGTCCCTTAGTCTCAGGCAGGCATAGCACAAGCACTCCAACTACTATTGGCACTATGCCTAGAACTATGTAGGGTAAACCATACCAAATTTCACCCTGAATGGAATAAAGGAACAATCAAAGACAAGACATCAACATGCAAAATATCACCACCTGTCATTTGTTTCAGACGCAAACCTCCGAACACCAACTGCAGCACGCCGAACGCCGTCCACAAAGAGTTGGAGTTTATAACCATATTTCACCACATGAGGTGACATAAATGCTAATATCAGGAGTATTATTGTAACGTTTGATTCTGCCTAAAATATATTTTAGAATATCAATTAGGATATAATTTTGAGTACATCGGATACATACATATCTCTTAATGTTTACCATACCTACCCTAGTTACCTTTTGCTATGTTGGTTAAGAGTTTTTGAATTTCTTACTGCTACCATTTCTAACTGGTAACTGTAAATAATATATTTTGACTCCGTGGGGCAACGTTGTGCTATTTACCATTCGAGTCGAACAAATTTGCTCTATGGCAGACGCATAGCTTTTCTTTTGAAATGGGTACAGCCGTCATACGCCTGCGTAGATCAAGTGTTCTCGTTTCATCATTAATATAGAAAAAATTATGCTTCTCGGAAATTATACTATACGTTGAATATATTACCAACAATGGGAGTTGAGGTGTGATAAGGCCACCAAGTCTCCCGACGCTAGAACCACTCCCCATTCCGATAGTCCGTACCACCGTTGGAAACAGCTCACCCGAGTACAAATACACTAACGCCCATAGATTGGCTACCACCACTGATGCAATCAGGCCTAGAGCAATCACAATACCGCTGATATCTGGAATAAATGGAGTGAAAGAAGTACACGTAAGGGCTCGTGGTACAAAACAGACAAAAGTGACAAAACCATGCTGGATTTTAAACATTTTTTTAACCATGGTCTTAATTGACCGGGTTCACAAAGTACATGAATTCTCTCATACAAGTATCAATTTTGGATCTCTACATCGTCGATATTGTATCATTCTCTCCCCCAGACCAGTTCTACCTTGAAAGATTCTGTTCAGTGACCTTTCCTAAGGTCCTATTTTTAGCTATTTCTTGATGTTGAGGGCAATTCTGACCATGTACATTATAAACCTGGTCATGTAAATGATATGTGGAACCAGTTAAACCGACGAGAAGTCAAAACAGAACTCTAAGTTTGGTTGAAAAAATATTTAAAGTCCAGCATGGTTTTGTCACTTCCTGCTTTGTCATTTCCCGATGAGTACCATGAGACCTTAATACCATGTATTGGCGATCATCACTGATTTAACTAGGACTAGAGCAGTCACATATATATATATTGTTTTTTATATTCTTTATTTTCTCGACGTGTAAAATGTTACAACTCGCAAACTCACTCAGTAGTAATACTGGAGCCATGACCACAACACTGATACCGGCGATGATGAGCCAGGCAGACACTACGACCCTTCTCTTCAGTTTAAACAGCGCAACATATCCAATCACTAAACTGCCAACCTACAATATAAAATACACATAGGTTATATAGTTTATAGTTTATTTCATAATATAACAATGTAAAGTACAAAACATACACATTTAGGAGAAAATGGGAACTCTTGCTAGTGATTCAATAGGTTTTTTCAACAGGTTGCTTAATCCTGATTTTGCTAAATTGTTTCAATAGTTTATCAGATTTTCAATCGGGCGACGTGTGATTTTAAGAGATTAACAGGCTGTGGTTGCCTCGATACTTTGAAGACCACAGCATACCTTATGTTAATCCAGTCTCAATATTTGCAAGGTAGAACTGGTCTGGGGAAGAGAATGATATAATATCGACTATGTAGAAGATCAAAAAATCAAACTTTCGGAATCGAAAATGATTTTGAATATTGTTATTGGTTCTATGAGAGAATTTCTTTTTTGAATTCACAGTCGCACTAATTTTGCTAAAAGCTAAAAGAACTCCATCAATAATCTTGTGAATCGATAATATACATAAAAGTTAAAGATCAAAAACATCCAAAGTGTTTACATACCTCGTTCACAAACATCATAAGGAACATGTTTAGATAAATATCCCCGGGAATGATTTTTTCAATATTGAGTCCAAGACCATATGAAAAGAAGACCACTGAAAACCTACAAAGATTGAAAAAAATCGTCGCGTTATTTGGCCATCAGCTCGAGTGTTGATCGGCCTATAATGATTTCTGGCTAGGTTTGCGCTGCTAGCATTTTATGATCATTTTGTTGCATATGCACAACATGGATTCCATTTCACGGATGTACTCATATGATATAAATGCGGGGTTGCAGAGAGATGGATTTTCTCACCAGAGACAATATGAGAGAATGGTGCGCTTCCTCAAACGTGGAGTCCTGAATAAATCAAATAAGGTTGCATTCTTTTTATTCCCATCACTCGCTGTTTCATCTTCTACCTATGGATTTATAAAAACACAGAGGGTTATTTTCATTTGGAAAACTTATGATTATAAATCAATATCGTACATTTTCAAAAAAAAATATAAATATGTTGAATGCCCATGGTTTTAATAAAGTCTATATAATTCTAATTCACATTTGTCTCTTTGGCTGTTTTTAGCAGGTCGTATTTTAAAGGACTCATTGTATGAAATAAATCGAATGGAGTAAATAATAGATCTACTCGTACATATCTAATAATGTGATACACCTACTTTGTTGAATTAGTAATAGAAAATTTAGGGTTGTCATAGATACCAGATAAGATTTTGAGAATGAATATTATCAAATGGCGAGTGCGCTTGCAAAGAGTACCTCTGTGAATTTATTTATGTTGAAATTTTCTGGAAGTTTCACACCATTTATCCTCGCAATCCTTCTGCACACCTTTTCTGCCTCTTTCAGCCTTCCAGTCGCCATTAACCAGCGTGGGGACTCTGATAGCAAGCTGAAAATAACGTCAGATTAGTCCACTGAGATCACAAATCGGAAGACCTGTTCATCAAAGTATGTGAATCAGTTTCAAATACAGTCATGCTACCTGGGAAATACATGTATTAATATTTTTGTTCGAGTTTTAGTACTCTTGGTATACGTTACGCAAGATATCCGCACCGAGAGTTTTCTGCAAGGACCATCTGCACATGGTTAACATATTATGTACAAAATGTATTTGAAAAACTTACAAAGTCGCTATCAATGCAGGTATAAAACAAAGTGACGCCATTATTTGGAGGTGTACATGACTTCGTATAAAGTAAGCCCATAATACAAGCAGACCTCTTGCCGAACGTCCCAGCATGAGGATGAAAAACCCCTTGGACCTGGCTTCCTTGGGTATAACCTCCAGAACTGAATGAAAGTAAATTGATATATAAGCGCAAATGCCAAAGGGAAAGGACCAAAAACTTTAAAGAAACCTCGTAAGAAAAGAAAATTCAAAGTGTGAACCTGTCTAAGATAAATAGACCATTTTGAGAATGGTCAAAATATGAATGGGTCATCGAAGTGAGCTATTGACGCCACAAACATGAATATGTCGATATGTTACCATGTTTCCTCTGCCTTCCATCAAATCTAAATGTAGAGGTACACTTACTGTAGGCCATTAACGTCTGATATGTGCCCAAAGATGATAGACCCACAAATCCACGTAGTACCAAAAACGCTGCATAGTTCGGAACCAAGGCCGCACCGAGGGTAGAGAGCAATTGTAACATCAACATAATTGAGAAGATTCGTTGTCGTCCAAACCTATTCGAAAAGGAACCAACAAAGACTGTGTCATGTTTGGCTTGTGTCACACACATCTATAAACATTTACTTTTGGGAATTTTTATAGTCACAGAACTTTGGTAAAGTTTCTTTGATTTTTCTTGTAATATTACTCTGGACTCTTGCTAAAGTAGTAAGGATTACTTGAAAACTTGTTTCAATAATCTAAATTCTAATATTTCATAGAAAAGTGGTGAATTTGGTATTTGCTGGTATTTACAATAAAGGTTTTATCTAAGATCAATAGACGTACCTGTCCGCCAATGTACCAGAGAAGAAAGCTCCACAGAACAACCCCGCCATGAAGGCTGATGCTGCCAAAGTATAAAGCCAATTTCTGTCGCACACAAGATCATACTGTAATATTAACAGAAACGTCACCAGCTGCAAACCTTCTCATTTTGGCGTCAGAACTTTCCCACTTGGATTCCTGGCTTGGATTACATTCTCAGTTGACTAATGTTTTAAGTCTTAATATTTGACTTTCAATCATACAAACCTCACATAGCTTTGAAGCTTATTCAATTAGATTACAAGCATTCTCACTTGACTTATAAGCTTTTTCAATAGGCGCACTCTAGCGTTCTCAATTGGCTTTCAATTGTACTCACCTGGCTTACAAGTGTAGATGAAAACTTGCTTGTATCATAGATATATCCACTACATTTTCTGGTAGAGATGTTTCCATTCGGCTTCCAGTTGGCCACATCCTCGGCTGTGATGTTCCCCATGCTGGAGTAGTTGAAATCGTAGACCCTACATTGACTATACACGGCCTCCCCATACTGATTCTCCTCAAGGGGGACAGCTATATGCAGGAATGTCGAATGGTTGAGATGCTCTAATTCTGGCACGTTGCACCAATGTGGTATTCGACCAGCTATGAAAACTGTGATAATGTGCTGCCATCCGTTTGGACCAAAGAAGATCATAAATGTAAGTAGTGAAAATATCTGGTAGCGTCCGAAACCTCCAAGGTCTGGTATCAAATCGTCAAATCCCATAATATCGAGTTAAAATACAAAAAAAATATTTTACAAATAACTTATTTGGCCACTTTCCGAATCATTCAGAATTTGATTCAAGAACTTAAATATTTACTGAAATAAATATAAAAGGTGCTGATATATCCAATTTAGGTGTCGATTTAGATACATCCAAATTCAAATGATGTTCCTTCTCTTTTTGGTCTGATGTGTTTCTTAGATCAATTGTACTTATGAAACAACATATAGATTGCCCCAGATTTACAGGAATACATATACTTGTACATGTATGTAACCTCAGCTATCAATTTGCCAGCATAAAACATCAAAAAGAACATGAACTTAGAGAGTTATATTTGATAAGTGTACACGTGTCAGAGTTAGTTCAAGATAGCACCAAAAACAATGTGTAATAATTTTCAATAACGACAGTCCTCTTCTATAATAAGGAGACAATCAAATCGATAAAAGTAATTTATGTGAATCATACATAAGGACCGGGGACGCTCGAACATATTCACAATGTCATATCTGGATTAGAAGCATTTTCAGTGCGTATCAAAAAACGCAACAAACAAATAAGCCATAGTCTCTAAAATATGTAAATATGTTACATTGGTTTAATGAAAATTAAATTAAAAAAGACATAAAAAATTAACCACGCAACCAGTGATGACTGCATCAATTTCATTTATTGTACCATGAAGTCAAGATTCTCGATCTTTCTTTCTCAAAGTTGCATTGTCGGGTGGAGGTGAATTTAATTTATTGTCTTGCATTTATTGTATCCTGTGTTGTTTAATCTACTTCTCTTGCATTGTTCAACAAATACTTTAAAAAATGGGCGTATTGTTGTAGTGTCTTCCGAATCATATCTTTCGGAGACGCGGCGGCTGATCTGGGCCAGGTCTATACTTTTAGCAGCTCCATAATTCTCCTTCACATGCCTCAATTTTATCATGCAAAGTTTTTTTGTTTATTTAGAAGTGACTCCCATGCCATTCTTAGTACCATATTTATTTGCTTTTCTTTATTAATATTTTGAAATTAATATTTTGAAATTAATATTTTGATACATTTCGTTATTTTTATTTTACTTTGAATTAACTATTCTATTTTTCAAAAACAAAAATACTTCATTTAGTTTTAAATTTATTTTCACTGACTTTTATTTCAAATTTGCGTTCTTTAACGCCAAGCGATATGCAAAAACTTTTCGATTGGTCAACGTTTCGAAACGAATTTTAACGAATGATAGACGAAACTTTTAATCGCAACAACATGCTCAAAATTCTCCCGTGAAGAAGACTATTCGCAACGGATGCAAAAGCTAACAAACTTAAGGGCTGATGTTAAAAGGTCCGTTCACCCAAGTGGAATCGAACCATGACCACTAGCTTTTTCCGGAAGTCTACTTCGGTCACTACTTCAATTCAACCAAGTTTATTACAATACTATTCCAGGGAAAACAGTAGGTGTGATGGGAATAAAAGGAACGCTATGTTGTTTGATTTATTCAGGAATCTAGATTTGATGAAGCGTGCCATTCTCTCATATTGCCAACTCTGCACACCAGTATTTACATACTGTATCATCGATACAGTGTTAATAAATCCATGAAATTTGAACCACGTGGTGCACGTTCAAATTATAGATAAAGTAGCAAAAAGACAATATTGATGTTGAGTGGTAAAGTGGTAAAGAAATTGTAGTTTCTAAATGCTGGTCTATTACACATGTGAGTTAATCGCTCCAAATATTCACGCAGGTGTTTTAATAGCTCCATTATATTTTTAATCGATCAATTTGAACTCCAATATGAATTATTACCACCTTGCAGGGCCTGTTCTGGGGGTTTTAGTACTAGTTGAGAAGGCATTTAAATTGCTATATTGATGTGAGCAATATTGTGTCGGGCGTTAATGACTTTAGTCGGGCAATAATGACACTATCCGCCCGGCTATGTTTCCCGGAAAAAGTGAAATCGTTCAGTGCGTAAGATTTTCTATTTCAAATTTGCTATTTCAGCCCTGGGCATTAACGGTGGTAATAATAGTAATAACGTCATTTCTGCGGGCAAAATAGTGAAATATTGGACCTTGGGCCTGCGGCCATTGGTCCAATATTTCACTATATTGCCCTTTGAAATGACGTTATTGTACTATTATTACCCTTTACAGTAAAATTTTAAATGTTAGGAACTACTTTGAATTTAAAAAATAAGCAATCAAATGACTATATTGCAACAGTATATAAAAAAATAGAAACATATGTACTTGTCCTAACTATAAAAATGAATACAATATTGAACAAAACACTCAATCGACCGGGCGCTGACAGATGGATTGGAGCAAATGTGACCCAGGCATAAAGGTAATGATGTTCAGTGGATCGTGAACAGAAAACTTTGATGAAAATTATTTAGCACCAGACACTAACGCTGTAAACACAACCTAGAATTATTCTAGAACCAGTTGAAATATAAAATTAAAGTCTTTCTGAAGCAAGAAGTGAATATGCAGAAGTATGTTTCTCTGTTTGTGGGGATACTTGGTATGTTATTAGCAGGATTCTTATATTCATTCAACACGTATGCAATCGCATTGAAAGCTACCTTCAACTATACACAACTAGAGATGGAGTTAATAGCTGCAAGTGGAGACATAGGCCAAAGTATGCTCATACCAGTGGGCTTTGTATTTGACAATTATGGTCCAAGAGTTTCAAGTGTATTTGGTCTTGTCATCACAGGAAGTGGATTTACACTTTTATGGATAGCAACACAGTTTAAAACATTTTTCTCTTCCAATGCCTGGTTTGTGTGTGTCGCGTATTTACTTGCAATGTTTGGAACAGCATTTCCAATAATCTCGAGCATAGGAGTGAACTGTAAAAACTTTGAGATAAAACAACGAGGAAAAATACTCGGCCTCATTAGCTCAATATATGGAATCGCCCCGATGGTATTTAGCGCCGTATATCAAGGACTATTTGTACAAGGTCATATAAATGATGCCGCAAACCAAAAATATGGGGATTTTATTCTCTTTTTACTTGTGTTCTCTGTTATCATTAATTCTTTATCTATTGCCCTGCTGAAAGAAACCCCAGTGAAAGCAATACCTTACACAGATGCAGGTGAAATAAATGAACTCTTCGGAACCTGTGAAGAAAACAGAGTAGCTGATGGCAAACTGAATGATAACACACTTTTAAATGACAAAACTTCATTGATTGCAAGCGCAAATCTAGGCCCTCCAGATCTTAATGGCTGGCAAATTATAAAAACAGTGCAATTTTATTACCTTTTTCTGGTTGTGTTTATTTTAGGTGGGATAACATCTACATTTGTAAACAATATATCGATGGTCTTGAAATCTGCAGACCGGGAGAAAGACGTGGCAGTTTTTACAATCTGCCTTCCAATTTCCTCCTCAGTAGGACGATTGTGTGGTGGGGTAATCTTTAACATAATCTATTTGCGATGGCCACAGATTCCAAGTTCGGCAAGTCTTATACCAAGTGGAACGCTAGCATTTGTTGGCCTTATTGTTATACTTTTATTCTATCATGGATTCGTTGGGTTGTTCATTAGTACTCTTATGATAAGCTTCGCAAATGGGTCATTTTATATACTTACAAACTAGTCATCATTGAATTATTTGGTTCAAAATATCTCGGACAAAACTTAGGAATAGTTTTGACAGCGCATGGCATTGGAATGTTCGCGTTTCATCAATTATTTGGTTTCATTTATGAACTGAATAGTCCAACAGGATCAAATGAGTGCTACGGAGAATCTTGCTCAAAATGGTTGTTCGTTTTGCAAGCAAGTCTATGTTTTTGTGCATTATTTCTAAACATTTGCCTTGCCAAAATCGAAAGAGATCTCGTCATGAAACGAAGAGAAACCTTTTAACAACAGAAACCCGTCGTTCGTGCTTACGTAACATTCACATTTCAATTGTGAAAGTATTCACTCTGTAATACGCAGTAAATCTGCAGCTCTTGACGGACATATATACTTGTAGCTTGAGAAATCAGACAAAATTAAAACAATTTTTGAAAGTATGCACTGAATAGTTAATAATAAATTCAGCGTGATATACAATTACAATAGTTTGTTTATCAAAAAGAAGATTACAATACATTGTACAGTGGCGGATGGTAAATAGCATTCATTATCGGAATTCTCGTGAGAATGGTGTAATGATTGATCGTCCATCCGTCCGTCAACCAGTCGATCCTTCAACAATGTCGGTAAATAAAAAGTCCCCATTAAATCCCTATTAAGTCCCATCTTCATAGTAGTTTTTCACATGTAATCCCCCAGTACCCTCCGTTTGATTTTGACATAAAAATCATATTTCGTTTGTATATCAGCAAGTAGATGCTAAATAGAACGATGAAAAGGTATATGTATATGGATACTATAGATGCGTATTTAAGGATTTATGCCCTGGACTCGGTGTAATGTGGAATGACCGGAGCAAATGTGGCATGGGCATTAAGGCAATCCGGGATATATTTTAGTAATTTTACATACATTATGCCTCGGTCACATTTGACACTGTGGCTAGTCGATCTATGTGGATGCAGTTAGGCACATGTAATGTTTCGTGAGTGCCCGCCTCTGTACTTTTCAATGGAAGATTTTTGCACTTTTGCTTAAATAATCTATATTTACTCATCTGTGTATATCATACTGCATTGATTTACCAAACCAATGCTACGCTATAAACACACATTCTCTGATATTTTTACAGTGCAGATTTGATGTAAATGTTATTTAACTAGATAAACGTTCCTAAAACGGGTAACATCACATTCATAAATTGAAGAACCACAGCCTGCAAACCAGGGGTATGGTTACTTCAAAATTCATGAGCAGATATTGCTATTTTACAGGGATGTGAGAAGGTGCTAGCATCCAATTCCAGACTCACTAGACATGAGCGCATCCATACCAGGGGAGAAAGGGTTAAATGTGATGCCTGAGCAAAAACGTTCTGTAGCAA